TTGCAGCCCACTGACCCGGACCTGGGTTCTAGTTCTCACTTATCCTCTCATCAGCTCTGTGTCTTTGGACAATATGTGTGGTTTGTCTGAACCTCAGTTTCCCCAAAGGTAAAGTGGAGTAACAATCTCTTCTCTCCCTGCTTTATACAGCTGCCAAGAGGATCACGGAAGATTAAGTTTATGGACACTTTGTAAACCAGATATTCTTATTAGGATTATTAATCATTTTGATTGTTGCTGACCCAACACTAAGCTAAGCTGCTGCTGCTTGTTTTTTTAAATCGAGGTCATAATAGTTTATAAAATTGTGAAATTTCAGTTGTATATTATTATTTGTCAGTCACCGTATAAATGTGCCCCTTTACCCCTTATGCACACCCCTCGACCCCCTTCCCCTCTGGTAACCACTAATCTGTTCTCTTTGTCCATGTGTTAGTTTATCTTCCACATATGAGTGAAATCATACAGTGTTTGTCTTTCTCTGTCTGGATTATTTTGCTTAACATAATACCCTCAGGGTCCGTCTATGTTGTTGTGAATGGGACGATTTTGTCTTTTTTACGGCTGAGTAGTATTCCAGTGTATGTACATACTGCATCTTCTTTATCCAATCATCAGTTGATGGGTACTTGGGTTGCTTCCACATCTTGGCTGTTGTGAATAATGCTGCAATGAATATAGGGGTGCATAAGTCTCTTTGAATTGTTGATTTCAAGTTCTTTGGATAAATAACCCAGTAATGGGATAGCTGGGTCATACGGTATTTCTATTTTTAAATTCTTGAGAAATCTCCATAGTGTTTTCCATAATGGCTGCACAGTTTGCATTCCCACCAGCAGTATATGAGGGTTCCCTTTTCTCCACATCCTTGCCAACATTTGTTGTTTTTTATATTGGTGATTACAGCCATTGTCTTGGGCGTAAGGTGATATCTCAATGTAATTTTGATTTGCATTTCCCTGATGATTAGTGATGTTGAACATCTTTTCATGTGCCTATTGGCCATCTGTATATCTTCTTTGGAAAAATGTCTGTTCATATCTTCTACCCATTTTTTGATCAGATTGCTTGTTTTTTTGTTGTTGAGTTGTGTGGGTTCTTCATATATTTTGGAGATTAACCCCTTGTCAGATATACGATTTGCAAATATTTTCTCCCAGTTGGTGGGCTTTTTGTTTTGTTCCTTGTTTCCTTTGCCTTGCAGAAGCCAAGCTAAGCTTCTTAAGGATAGAAATGTATGCTTATCTTTTTTTGGTTTCACGTCTAACAGTGGAATTTATACACTGTCCTCTTGTCTTTCACACCACCACTTCTTTCTCAAGTCCCCCACCCAGCTCTGCACCAACAGTATATCCTCTACTCAGCATTGTTTGGTACTGTTTCATCCCAGGCCCATCTTCTGTTCAGGGTCCTAGGTCCCTTTCCAGTTGGCACGTCCAGTGCTCTTTGGTAACCTGTTTTATTGGCTCCTGGGCTGTCCTGGTCTGAACTCTCAAGCCCACTGGGCATGTCATTCTCAGATGCTTGGCTTTTCCCCAGCGTTATATCCTAAATATTTTTGCTGATTCTTTTCCTTTCAATTTCCCTGAAAATTTTATATTTGCTATGGAGTAGAGCTAAGGCATTTTTTTTCATCCTTATATCTGGGGTCAAAGTCATCATTTGTGTTCTTTGAGGCCTGAGGCTGTCAGCGTCTACAGGAAGAGCAGGGCTATCCAGGAGCGCTCATCATTTTCCTCTATAAAAGCCCATCCCATTACTTCCGGGAGCCACGCCTCATCACAAGCTTGTGAGATTTGTCACTCTTTAGCCCCCATTTTATTGAAGAGCAAAGCAATACATAGGAAGCCTAGGTGTGTCTTCCAGTTTGTCCTCAGAGCTGACATCAGAATTCACGATCTCGTTTCCATGTTTTCTCCCAGTTCTTATGTTTTGACGCAGTCTGACTAGGCAGTGTCTCATCTCTCTAATTCACAATGAGATGTGATGGGCCAGGCAGATTTGAGTCTACTTGCTTGTGTCATTTGGACAGGTTAAATTTCTTCCCAATGTCTCAGATTCTTTGTCTCTGATGCACAGTGACAATAATGGAATCCAGACACCCAGAGTTATGGGTGAGGATGGAACACTGTGTGTGGAGGGTCACAGTAGACTACCAGACTGGAAAGAGATCTATTGATATTCATTTCCTTCCTACCTCACTGTTTGGGCCTCAATTTTCTCCTCTGTAAATTCAGATCCTTCTAGCTATAGAATTCTTTGACCTTAGGAAACAGAATTTACTTCTGAGGTAAACTTTTACAGGGCTAAAAGTTTAGGGCAAGGCAGGTAGTCTTTCTCCCAGATTCTAAATGACCTTAGGTCATGCCATTGTGCCTTTTCATTTGCTTAGATGATAAACAAAGGCAATCTAATTTCTAATCTGGACACATCAACCAATTATGAAAAGGATGACCATTTCTCTGTAGAGAAAAGTTAATGAATATAACTTGGTCTTAGTTAGGAAGGCGCCATAGAAAGTAGCGAGGTGAGATGACTGCTTGGGCAGAGAGGCCTTTGGAGGACTAATGGGGTAGGGAGGGTTTGGGGAACAGGGCCCCACTGAGAACCAGAAGCAAAACCTATAAAGAGAATGGCAATGGGCAGAAATGAATCTAAGATTTCCTTCTCCTCGTAAAACCAGAGAAGCTTCTATGCCAAATGTTTGCACTGTGTTTAGGTATTCAGGCTCAGGAGTTAGGCATCTGAATTGTTCAAGTCCTAGCTCTGCCACTTAATTGGCTGTGTCTTCGGAAAATTCTGAGCCTTTCTCAATCTGTTAATTTATCTGTAAAATGGGAATAATTTTATAGGCCAATCTTACAGGTGGTTGGGAGAATCAAACGACAAATGTGCCATAGCACTTAGCACCTTGTTTGGCACATAGTAAGTATTCGTGAAATGGTACCATCATCATCATCATCATCATCAACATCACCACCACCATCATTACTATGAATGCTTGTATGGAAACATAAGGCTGGAGGATTCACAGAGGATGAGTAGAACCCACTTCAATGCCAGTACAAGAAAGGAGGCTTTGGTGGCAATACAACCCCATGTAGAGAACTTGTCCTCCTCAAGAACCACCCCAAATAAGATAGCCAAACCCACAAGATCAGGAACTTAGCAGAGAAGTTTGGGACAACGGGCCATCTGCCAATTTCCTATTCCAGTCACCAAGTGTAAAATTTGCATTTGTGTTGATTAATCCATTAATATAGTTCTGTGCCCCTAGTGCTTGCAAGATAAGTGAATGAGGTTTGATCACCATTGGGTTGGCGCGGACAACGTGCCCAGTGTCTGCTCAAGAAAACTGAATATTCACAAAATTCTTCATCTGAGCCAACAATAGTAGGAGGAAGGTTACATAAATAATCATCATCACCCCCACCTCTAACCATTTTTACACAAAATATCTTACTTAACTTTCACAACAAAACCATAAGTTGGATAGCATTACTAGTACTTCAGTTTAAGAGATGAAAAAATGAGAGTCAATAAAGGGGACTTCTCTAAGCTCATATTGTCAGTAAGGATGTGAACCTAGGTTATTTAGTTTCAAATGTGAGCTTTTCTGTTCCTCCCACACTGCGTTTGAAATCTGGACACATCCGTCTTAAATGGCTTACACCGTCTCCTACAAATAATCTTTTGGGACATCTTTCTGAACTCTGATTTTGCTTCTGTGCGGAACGAAGGACAGGTAGAGTGACAGAGAACAGAAGTTGAGATGGGAGGGCTACTTTGATAAGACGCATTATTGGGCAATAGGGAGATTTCCAAAGGTTTGGAAGAGTCAAACGGTCTCTCATCTCAGAGGTGACAGAGAGGTGATCACTCATCAGAGATGGTGTTCGCTTCTTAGGGGTGACAGTCTCTCATGGGCACTGTGCCTTGTTCCGAGAGCTTCTCAGGCTGGCAGATTCATACCTCGAGGGGTATTCAGTGCTCTCAGAAAGAAGAATAAGTCTAAGAATAAGGTGAGAGAAATTTCCAGAGACTTTGAGATATGGTCACCGTGGATAGCTCTGAGCATCTCCTTCTGGTTTTCCTTTCTTGTTGAGTCTGAAGTATTATGCTTCAGATTTATGTTTCAACACTGCCACTGGATCTCTCACTCTGTGGATTATTCCCAGCATAATTTTCCTTCTAGATGTTTCTTCCCTTTCTCATCTTTAGGGAGATTGTTGCTTCAGTGTAAGTAAACATTTTCTGTAAAGGGCCAGATAGGAAATATTGTAGGCTTTGCAGGTCATGTTGTCTCTGTTGCAACTACTCAGCTCTGCCATGGTAGCACAAAAGGAGCCGTGGACAGTACCTGAATGAAGGAGCATAGCTGTGGCCCAACAAAACTTTATTTACAAAAAAAGGCAGCAGGCTGAACTTGGCCTGGGGGCCATAGTTTGCTGATCTCTGCTTTAACGTTATTCTCATCCATCCAGCTGGTTTCCTTTCCCAACCAGCAACACTTAATTCAATCTCTCCATGTATTGACAAATGCCCTAAGCCCCAACCAATTCTCTCACTGAGTAACGCTCAGGATGCCTGCAGCTAACACACAACAAGTTTCTGCTATAAAGACAAGTTGAACCGAACACTGAAACGTGGGTGGACTGGAGAGAAGAGGGCCACCCAGAAGATTGTTCACTCCAAACTCTCTTTCCAGGGAGTCTAGCGGCAGAACCTCACGAGTGACGAGTCCCAAACAACTCCACCCGTGTCCCTGGCTGTCGTCCCTTCTGAGTAATGGGGAGAGCCATTTGGGGCTGGGCTGATCCTGCCTTCTTTGAAGCCATCTGATGACACCCTGATTTCACCAACCACTAGCACCCAGGAAGACCCTGGTATGACACAAGCTGAGTGGAATAATTTTATGGGATGAGAGGGGACTCTTTGGCGGCATCTAACTATCATATTTTGGGGAAAAAATTAGCTGAAAGGAATTAGCTGGAAAATTAGGAAAGGAAACTATGCTGTATGCCTAGTCCCCACCCACCATTAAGAGTATAAAAGGACCACGGAGGAAGGAGAGACTCAAACCTCATCCACGTCCACCTCCATCAGCTCACCTGCTCTTCCATCAACTCTCACAGCACCATGCCTTACAGCTGCTTCCTGTCCAACCTGAGCTGCCGCTCCACCTGCTCCTCCCGGCCCTGCGTGCCCCCCAGCTGTCACGGCTGCACCCTGCCCGGGGCCTGCAACATCCCCGCCAGCGTGGGCAGCTGTGGCTTGTTCTGCGAGGGCTCCTTCAATGGCAACGAGAAGGAGACCATGCAGTTCCTGAACGACCGCCTGGCCAGCTACCTGGAGAAGGTGCGCCAGCTGGAGCGGGAGAACGCGGAGCTGGAGAGCCGCATCCAAGAGCGGTGCCAGCAACAGGAGCCCGAACTGTGCTCCAACTACCAGTCCTACTTCCGCACCATCGAGGAGCTCCAGCAGAAGGTGAGAGGGTGGTGCCCATGTACGGGCACAGCAGGAGCTGGCTGTCTTTGAACAGCAAGACATTCTCAAGTTCAAGTGGTCCTCACAGTAGAATCTTGTTTTCAGATTCTGTGTGCCAAGTCTGAGAATGCCAGGCTGGTGGTGCAGATCGACAATGCCAAGTTGGCCTCTGATGACTTCAGAACCAAGTACGTTGAGACTTTTGGGCCAGGTGACCTCCAAGGCCCCCAGGGCTCTTTCGTGGCCCTATGGGCCTAACATTGCCTTGAAGGGAAGAGAAAGCCATTTCTCCCTTTTTATTTCTCCTCTTAAGGCTGGTTATGTAAAACCAATTTCAAACAGAGATCCAGACTCATGCACTGTCTGCTCTTCCATCTATATTGGTCTTTCCGGAAGGCCTTCTTAAACCCTCAAATTCAGAAACTGAAATTAATTGTTCTTGGGGAATGGATTGATTTGATGGAATATTAACCAATAAAATTGAGAGGAGAATGAGAGCTTCCACTTCATGAGGCCCCATGGGTGCCTTCTGGGGTTAGGGTGAGTGAGGGGCCTCTCCAGCCTATCCATGCAGAGCTTGAGGGAAACATGGAAGGGAAGAGGTGGAAAACTGGATAAGTTCACAGAGAGCCAGGACCAGCCCATGCACACAAGATGCCGGACAGGGAGATCGGCTTCTTTCCCAGCTCATCCTCCCACTCCAATCTGTGTGTGCAGGTATGAGACGGAGCGTTCCTCGCGGCAGCTGGTAGAAGCGGACATAAACAGCCTGCGCAGGATCCTGGATGAGCTGACCTTGTGCAAGGCTGACCTGGAGGCCCAGGTGGAGTCCCTGAGGGAGGAGCTGCTCTGCCTCAAGAAGAACCACGAGGAGGTGAGAGGAAAAGAAAAAAAAAAAAAAAAGGCTTCAGAGCTAAGCCTTTAGCACTGGGAATCAGGAGGCAATTGCTGTCAGGATCCTTGGGCTGGGACCCTTCTCTGAAGAAGGTCAGCTCAGGGAATAAGGATGCTATTCCCAAATCAAGGAGTGAGGTGAACTGTGAGCATTGGGCAGGTGGTAGAGATGCTAAGGAAGGACATCCATTTATTGAGCCCTGCTCTCTGCTGGTCACTGTTAGGTCCTGAATTTGGTGGTAGAGATGGGGGAAAAAAAAGAAAGAAGACATGGCTTCCTATTCAAAGAGCTCACAGTCAGTCTGTAGTTTTGGCAGATGGACATGTAAAGCGTAGTGTGTAATACAGGCAGAGTGAACTAAGTACTGCATGAGATACACGAGTGGCATGCTCTGGAACAATCCAGTCTGCCGGAAAGGAGATAGGGGACTCTTCTCAGAGGCAAGTCATGGGGAGGAGGAGGATTTTAATACTGGGGTCTTGTGATCGGAGGGAAGAGGCTGAGTAAAGACAGAGAAGTGGTGAAGCAGGGTATATTTGAGTGTGGCCTATGGGCTGGTATGGCTGGGTGTGCAGTACCCACAGGGAGGTGATGGGAAATGGGGTGGGAGCTACACGTGCCAGAAAGTTTGGACTTAGTCTTATAGGAAATGGGAGCTTGTTTCAGTTTTGTGGGAGAGGAATCGATGTGATCCCTACTTGGGTTTATTCCTGCAATACCTGTGTCAGGATTCTACTTTCAGGGCATTTTCAGTAGCATTGTGCTGACTTTCGTACAGCACCAAGATAGCAGATCCATTTCTGTGGGTTAATTCCTTCCCCTTCCTCCAACAGGAAGTCAACTCCCTGCGTAGTCAGCTTGGAGACCGCCTCAACGTGGAGGTGGACGCGGCCCCCACCGTGGACCTGAACCGCGTGCTCAATGAGACCAGGAGTCAGTATGAGGCCCTGGTGGAGACCAACCGCAGGGACGTGGAGGAATGGTTCATCAAGCAGGTGGGCATCCCAGCACGTGGCCACTCAGGACCTGAGGCCCCTCAGAGCCTTTCAGGCAGGGTCTGAGCCTGTCTTGTCCCCTCCGGTGTTTCAGACCGAGGAGCTGAACAGGCAGGTGGTGTCCAGCTCGGAGCAGCTGCAGTCCTACCAGGCGGAGATCATCGAGCTGAGACGCACGGTCAACGCCCTGGAGATCGAGCTGCAGGCCCAGCACAACCTGGTGGGTAGTGTTCGGCCGTCCTGGTGAGAAATGTGAAGTCAGGGAATGGGAGTCAGTGGGATGCCCTTTGGGCCACACTCTCCCTAACTCTCGAAGCTTGTGACTTCTTGGGAACCCTGTGGAGAAGCCCGTTGAGGGAGCAGCTCTGAGATGTTCTTTGTCTCCCCCACAGAGAGACTCTCTGGAGAACACGCTGACGGAGACAGAGGCGCGCTACAGCTCCCAGCTGTCCCAGGTGCAGGGCCTGATCACCAACGTGGAGTCCCAGCTGGCCGAGATCAGGAGATAAGCACCAACCCTGGCCCTCAGCATGTTTACAGTCTAGCGTGGATAAGACAAAGAGACAATCGCATACACGCAAACGTCAGTGTGGCTCCAGAAAGCTGTCAGTAAAGAATGATGAGTTTCCCAGGTGTGAGAGAGTGATAAGAGGCTCCAAGAAGGAAGGAGCACTTGAGCAGGACTTTGAAAACCCAAATATTCTATTCATACAAATTTTGTCTGCCTCTTCTGTTGACTATAGGTCCTTCAACAGAGACAGAATCTCTACCAAATTAAAGCCTAGTACAAACCATAGAACGCTTTAAGTGGAATAAATAAGGAACAGTAACACTAATGAGGATCCATGAGGTTATTAAAACTTTATATACTTCCCAGAGTTCCAACTTCAATCAACTATTACTGTATGATAGTAGCATAATTCTGAAATAAATGTTGATGGATATGTTTGGACAGGTGAGTGTGTGCAGGTCTGAGAAGAGCGCAAATTTTTCCAAGCATGAACTCTGCCTGGTAAGGAGATGAGGAAGCAGGGGGTGTGGTAAAGGCCTGACAGACCAATTGCTAGCCTGGAGCAGAGGATAAACGCGGTAGTGGAATAGGAAACTAGAAAGGAGTTAGGGAGGCCCATAGCTGGCAGTGCTGTGAGATTTGCTTGTGAGGAAGGGTGGCATATGACGTATCAGGCAGCTATGTGAAGGCTGGGTTGTGATGAGTCCTACAGGTTGGTGGGGTTGGGTGGGAAAGGAGGACCATCAATTAGGAGGCTGATGAGAGACAACAAGGACTGAGATGAGTGGAGGTGGGGGGTTGGGGGAGGACGGGTGGGGGAGCGGGGGAAGGGGAGTGGGCGGGGCAAGGGAAGAGCAGATTCCAGAGGCACAGCCTGGGATGCGGAAGCTGATTGGAAGTGGAGGAACCATGGAGAGAGAAGGACGGAAACTAGCATTGATTGAATACCTACTATAGGTCAACATGAGTGAAGTTTTCGAGCCTGAGAAAATGAAACAATAGTGGGTCTCCAGTGGAGAGAGCTGGAAAAGAATGACTAGATTTGGGAGAGATGTTGGAGAGATACTTACACAAAGATGATAATAGTTAAAGGTGTAGGAGTTCTTAAGAGTGTCAAGGAAAGATGTTAGAGAAGGTGGAAGAACCTTGGGAACCACTGACAGTTATGACAGAGCAGGCCTGGGCTTCTCCAAAGTCCCTGACATGAGGTTCTGCCTTGGTTTAGCTGGGTCTCTGAGGATAGAGATATCTGATTATAAGCAGTTGGAGAAGGAAGTGGGAAAGCAGCTGAAGTGACAGACAAATCAAAAGAAGTCAGAGCTCAATGAGGGGATGGTCAACAGCATCCAGGGCAAGGAAGATGAGGATTCAGACACATCACTGGTCATAGCAATGGGCAGGTTGCTGGTTACTATCAAGAGACCGGGGTCTGTGAAATGCTGGGGAAGAAGCCATATTTCGGTGGCTTTCACATCTGTCTCAAATCACCAAGTTAATAGTGAATTTAATGCGAAAGTTCAACACTACACATTCACAGTAAACATGAAGCTCACTTTGCTTTATCCTCTCTGTACTACTAAAAACGTTTTAACATCTGCTCTTCCCTTTTGACCTGCAGAGCAGTCACATAAACAGATTTTCACTCCTCTGAGTGGTCCCTGAATCCAGCTTTCCCAGAAGACTAGGACCATTAAGTTACATTGTCCTGGATTGTTTCATGTTCTTCTCAACTCCTCTATTCTCGACTGGGTAGAGTGAAAAATATACTGAGGAGATTTGCATTTTTCTGACTTGGCTTGGTCCCTTGAGACCCTCAAACTCCTTTCCCTTTGGGAGTCTGAGGCCAACGTAAGAGAAACAATGGTGGCTCTGAGAGATTTTGTGGAATGGGCCATGAATCCCATTTCGAGGTGCCTGTACCTCTCTTTGCTCAGCCCATCTTACTACTGAGCTAGCTCATTCTCCAGGTCTTGTCCCGCTTGTCCTCCTTGGAATCCTGTTTGAGCATCTCCTCAGAGCCAAACCTGTTAGCTTAGTTCCTGGATTACCATCACACTTTCTCCCCTCAGTGTAGTGAGGCTGGGTGATTGATAAATTCGTAACGGCTGACTTTATGGAATGGCCTGTGGAAACCCTGTGTCCTGTTCTTATAAGCAGCTCTAACTGGGGCTGGCCCAGCTTGCCGGGCTGGTGTTGGTATTGAACAGTGTTTCTGATTTTCTGATTCTCCAGTGGGTAAGTCTTCATCTCTCTTAGGCATAAGTCAGTGCTCCTGGTCTGAGTGTGCCCGATGACACTACTCCTGGCCTCTCCTTGCCATTAGTACACATGAACATATAATTAATCAATAAGTGGCCTGATACGTTACTTTGCATTTCCCAAAGAATACATTGTATGTTTCTCATGATGAGAATTTGAAATGCCAGTACCTGGCCATCAGGGAAGATGGTTTGGGAAGGAGGAAGGAGGCCTCCTAATGCCTTTAAAGTCCTGCCACAGGGAGGATGGCCTCAGCAGATCTGCCCTGACTCCACTCCATGGTTAACCACCATGGTGAGTTTGGGTGTGATCTTCCCCCAGAAATAGCCTTGGCTTCCATCATAAACAGTGTCCTTAAACCTCAACAGCAATTTGCTCACATGGTAAGACCAGAAGCCTTACCAAGGCGTCTACCACAATTACCTGGGCAGGTGTAAAACCTTTCTGTTTGTTAGGATTTGATTTGCTCATCATGTTTATTGAAGGGTCATTGACTAGAGACAATGTCATCGCTTATGCAAAGGTAAGAATTCACAGCATACAGTAAGTGGAATAAATAAAAGCGGTTGTCTTGCAGAATTCCTGGGAAGCTAATTGAAACTTGGCTCTCTTCTCAATAGACCCAAGTGGTCTCAACCATCATTATCTAAAGACCACGTAGCTATGCGGCAACCATAGTTACTTCTACTCAAGGTATGGGAATACCCTCCACTTTCAAAGATAAAAGCATACTTACCTCTGGACTTCTATGTTCAGACTGAGGTAGAAGCTACAGTAATGGTTATAGGGACCCTCATGAACATATTTACCAGTTTACAACAGTATATTCCTTTGCTATTCTTTAAAAACTGCCATTGTCTAGATTTTTCTCATTTGAAGCTTTGAGTAGAGAGAAAGGGAGGAAGACAGAGAAAAGCTAATGAATCTAGCTATATACTTTATATTATTTGATCTCATCCAATAGGGCTTCAATTGGTTTGGTATTGATTTTAAACAAGCACACTCATTCCACATTTCTCTAAAGGTAGAGATTCAGACAGGAGGGGCAGAGAGCTGTGGATTGTGACCACGGATGAGATGTCAGCGCCTTCAAAGCACACGCTCTAGGAGACCACATGTTACTCCAAAGCTGCCGTCCTTTATGAAAGCGTATATGAAGCTTGCTCTCGGGAACAACTTTTAGAATCCTACATTATTATTTTATAGTCTCAATGTGTTTCTGACCCATTAAAGATACTACTCAGGTTGGTTGTTTATTCTACTCACTAGGCTTGGTTCCAAATGATATCTGGTTGGTTGCAAAACTAAACATACCCTCAGAAGATGAAGATTTACCATCAATGAAGATAACCAAAAGAAAGTATCCTAGGCTGCGAGGGCAAGTTTGAAGACGGCGTAATCTGAGTAATGACTGTATGGGAGGAATGAGTATACAGCTTCCAAAAGGAACTACTTTAAGGAGTATCTTTCATGTTTTGAGGACTGATAGATTAAATATAAAATCCTCATAGTTCAAATCTCCACCTGAAACACAGTGAGGGCAGAACATCTGTTTGTCAAAATGTATTGATGGTCACGAGATGCCATTAACCACACAATAATTTAGTGGCTTTTTAGAATCGTATCCTTTGGAAAGCTGGGCTGAAGTGTTTTTACATCAGATAACTCAGTTTCCGTTTTTAAAGTTTCTAGTAGGTATTGTACTTTCTCACTTAGTAGATTTCCTTCCATTAGAATAGAAATGACCTTTGGTTCTTGGATAGAAAACAGGCTTTTATTTCTTGGCCGACGCTAATTTAGGAGGGGATATTGTCTAGTAGTCGTTGGGTCCCATTGAACTCATAATGATTTGTGCATTATTGAATCTCAGTGGTGAGAAGATAAGAGAGTGTGGCTGTTGGAATCAGAGAGATCGGGTTTGAACTCCGGCTCCACTGTGTAGGAGCTCTGCGACCTTGGGCAACCTCTCAGAGGCTTGCTGTCCTCATCTACAATCCCTGCAGGGTTTTGTGAGTACTGAAGGAGATAATGCACATGAGGTGCTTAGCACAGTGGGTGCTCAGTGAACAGGAGCCATTCTAATAACAGTCACACTGTGTGTAAGCACATAGTAAGTCTTCATGCAGAGTAGGTGCTCTCAAGATGTGAGTTTTCTCAACATTCTGTGAACGTGGAATAATAGCAGAAATGGAGTGTGGGGGTTTCCCGCAGCCCCCTTGGAAGAGAATAGAATTGCCTCCATCTGGCCTGGGTAGAATGGCAAAGGGACGTTGAACGGGGTGGCCTCCTAAGTCCTCTCTGATCTCAGCTTCCAGGATTCCCCACCCATCAGTCTGGTTTCCAGGTGGCCTTCCTTAGATGGCTTTTCTCAAAGTCCTTACTGAGCTGGGTGAGGAGTTGGATGATGGATGAGGCACGGACCTTTCCTCGTTTAAGGGAAGAGGCACAGAAGAGCCCCCAACTCTGGGGGACAGTGTACAGCTGTCACTCTAACTCAACACCCTGTGAATAAGCAGCAAGGGAATGGGCTGATCACTTTGAAGACAAACCATGAAGCTCTTACTTAACCAACCAGCATGATTGGCGAGGAGTCCTGACTTAGCAAGAAGCCAAAGTAACATATTTTATGAGGTAAAGGACTCGTGTGAGGTGGCTAAACGGCAAATGGAAAAATTGGTCAGGAAGGTAAAAAGAGGTAACGCTGGACATGTTTGGCACACCCAACACTGACAGAATATAAAGCCCTGGAGAGGACCAGGGCCACACCAGAGAAGAGGAATCAGGCTTTGGAACTGACCTTCAGAGCTCCACTCTCTCCAGCACCATGTCTTACAGCTGCTTCCTGCCCAGCCTGAGCTGCCGATCCACCTGCTCCTCCCGGCCCTGCGTGCCCCCCAGCTGCCACGGCTGCACCCTGCCCGGGGCCTGCAACATCCCTGCCAATGTGGGCAGCTGTAGCTGGTTCTGTGAGGGCTCCTTCAATGGCAACGAGAAGGAGACCATGCAGTTCCTGAACGACCGCCTGGCCAGCTACCTGGAGAAGGTGCGCCAGCTGGAGCGGGAGAACGCGGAGCTGGAGAGCCGCATCCGGGAGCGGTGCCAGCAGCAGGAGCCCGAAGTGTGCCCCAACTACCAGTCCTACTTCCGCACCATCGAGGAGCTCCAGCAGAAGGTGAGGGGGTGGCACCACACTGCCAATTTAGTAAAGCATCTATTCAAATTTAGCATACCCACTTCTGAACGGATCTAAGACTGTTCGAAGCTAACGTTGAGAAGGATAAAGACATAGACTTCGTTGGTTTAGCTACAATACATCAAATTGTCTTAGAAAATCTCTTCGGGAGGCCCCACAAGGGAAGGATGCAGGCTGGGGAGAGGGTAAGGCGTTAGACCAAATCAGTTACAGCAATTTTACATTGCTTCTTCCCTAAAACCAGATTATCCGACCCTAGTTCTAGTGGGATATCCTGGTCTTGTTTTCAGAGCCTATAGCTTTTTAAAAAAGTATGCACTGAATTATTTCTTGGAGCCAGGAATTTCCTGAGAGAATCCTCAAATACGTAAAGCCTTTCAAAGCTGCAGAAAGAGACTGTGTCTGTAGCAAAGCAAAGAGCCATTGACTCCAGAAGCCTCTCTAATATATAGACAGCATGCCATCCACCAGAGCCGACTCATATACAAGTGAGAACTCAGGACCCGTAGTGCAGGAGTGGAAGTGAGGATAAGGAAAGAGTCAGCACAGAGGTGGGACTCGGTGGAGGTCAGGGATGGATTCCCAGGAGAGGCAATATCTGAGCAGGGATTGAAGGATGAGCAGGAGTTGATGTCCAACTGCACAAGCCCTTGATTCTCAGAGGGCATGGACTGTCCCCTCTTCAGTAGTTCTGGTAAAGTGAAGGCTGGTAAGGGGCTATGAGAGTTGAAGATCATGCATTCATTTACTCACGTTTAGTGATGACTAGGCACAGTGCTGGAGCGAGGGATAAAGTACTGGGTAAGACAGTCTCTTGCCTTCAGAGCTCGCGGGCTAGGGGAGAAAAGTGGAGAGTGGAAACCAATGACCAGAGGGAAGGTGACGGGAAGTGTAACTGGTTGAGAGCAAAGTCCTGTGGGAGGGCGTGGAGGAAGCAACCCCCTGCAGGAGCTGGGGAGGACGGGGATGGGGGTTATGTGAGGGGTCTTGAAGGTGGTAAGGACATCCCAGGGCACTCCAGGTAGAGGCGGAAGCTTCGTGCAAAAGCCTTGTCCAAGGCAGTATGAGGGGAGAGTGGAGAGAGGTCAGCAGGGCTGGAAAAGGAGGGTATGAGGGTAGGATAACCAACTTGTCCTGGTTTGCCTGGGGTTTTTCTGGGTTTAGCATCCCAGGAACCCTCCAGTTCCAAGCAAATGGGTCCTGGTCACCCTATGTGAGGCTTGGTACCCGGTATGCTTAATTCCTGCAGGAAGCCAGAGGCAGACCAGGAAGAGTCAGTGACAAAGGGCACATTTCTCCTTGACTGTTTTAGCTTTCAAATGATCAGTTCTGTTAATTAGTCTTCCCTTTACCCAAGAACTGAAAATCTGAGAAGATTCAAAGCTATTTGGAAGGAGTGGGGCTGAAAGAAAAGAGCTTTTCACTTTAAGGCACAGCGCATTCCTTCTTCGTCCAACTCATCTCACAATTAATGCTGTCTCCAGATCCTGGTCAGCAAGTCTGAGAACGCCAGGCTGGTGGTGCAGGTTGACAACGCCAAGCTGGCCGCAGATGACTTCAGAACCAAGTAAGATTTTTCTAATGATCAGAGCAGCCTGGTAATGGACAGGCTGAAGCGCAGGGTGGTGGTCTCTGTCCCGGGAGCGTGCAGGCAGAAGCTGTCTGGGTTGATAACGGGACGATTCCTGCACTGACTTGATTAGGTTAAATGTCAGTTAGAGTCACCTCACTGAATGCCAAGAATCTATATTTTAAGTTTAGGAAGGAGTGCAAGAAACCACCCATTCTTTCTCTTTTTCAACTTAACGTCTGGACCAAGTGTAAAAGTGAATTTCACATTGGTTTCTTGGTATAGGTTAGTCAATATCAGCCCATGAGAAAAAAGTTATTAAACCACAAAAATACGAGGCAAAATCCATTTCAGAGAATCAGTCAATTTTTCTAGGTGTGACCATTACAATCATAAGAGTCCTTTGCATTTTCATAGGATTTTACGGTTTACGATGTAATTATACCTACGGCCTTTCCTCATCTTCAGGCCAACTGGATGAAGTGTTAGTTTGGTTCTCATTTTACAGAGGAGGAAATCAACACTTAGGGAGACGAAGGGGCTTATCCACAGGCAGGCTGAATCTGACTTCTGATTTAGCGCTTCCTTAACAGCAACTGATTGCTTCTCAGCGTGGTTGGAAAGGAAGGCAAGACAATCTATAGCTGGCTTAAGAAGTTTACCGGCTCACTTAAGCAGGCAAGATGGCGGGGCTTAGCTGACAGCAACCCGTGAATAAGATTCTTAGAACCAACAGTTAATATGAGAGTAGAACTGTGCATTGGCCCCCACCAATACCTTCTCTGTGGGTCTGTCTCAGGGAGGAAATAGGTCTTTTTACTCAGCACAGTGGTATTTTTTTCCTTTCAAAAAACTTTAAAAAAAAAAAGAAAATATTTCAAAATATAATGAATTTGACTAGGTCAGCTAAGTAAAGCCCAGGAAGAAATCTTCCTCTTTGACCTCCCTTGACCTTTGCTGTGTGTGTGAAGGTATCAGACGGAGCTGGGCCTGCGGCAGCTGGTGGAGTCGGACATCAACGGCCTGCGCAGGATCCTGGACGAGCTGACCCTGTGCAGGTCTGACCTGGAGACCCAGGTGGAGTCCCTGAAGGAGGAGCTCATCTCCCTCAAGCAGAACCATGAGCAGGTAAGGGATTCCCAGCTCCCAAGCTCCCACTATTGAGAGTTCCGTAGCTCCCCTGAGCAGGATAAGCTAGGTCTTTGCAAAGTACCATAGGGCAAGCACCACATGCTGCTGGTTGCTCAAAACATACTTGGGGGACTTTTGGGGACTGAGTTACAAGCCTCTCTTTTTTACCAAAAAGAGTATGGTCAGCTGACATATTTCCACTTGGGGCCAAAGTCCACACAAAGATCTTTAAAATACTTTCTACAGTTTGATAAGATCTGTTATCTTCTGAATAGATGCCAAATTAATGACTAAGACCGGAAGGAAACTTCCTTAGATTATGTGTCGCCTAGATAGTAGAATCCAAGCTGGATAAATGGATGGATGGATCGATGGATGGATGGATGGGTGGGAAAAATGGGAGAAATTAAGGAACTCAAATAATGGTTGATTCAGAGCCCCTGGTTGAATGTAATGAAATCAGATGCATGCTTCAAACATTACATGTTTTGATGAAGAGGAAACAACCTCTAACAGATAGTGTATGATGGCAGAAGACATGAAA